GTAAAACGCAAGGTATCAAATAGAGAAAGCATCATTGCGTTAAGAAACTCTAAAATACCAATAAAATACCAATAAGGGGTTGAATCAAGTGGTAAATGACTTGTTTTAGTTTAAGTAGGAACTTGAGTTTGAGACCTTATGTACGCAGTAACCCCGTTGGAAGACTCACCTACTATTTTCAGGTGCACGATGTGAGTCAAATCCGAATTAGTTGAGGCGAAACCCTGAATACCGGATGAAAAACCAAAAAAAAAACCAAAAAAAAAAATCTAAAATTGTGATTTAACAGTGAAAATTTTTAAATTTTAAGTTCGAAATTTTAAATTTAAATTTTAAATTAATTAAAAAAATTTAAAAATAAAATTATCTTTTTTAATGTATCATATTATTATCAAATGTATTAAAAAAAATCATTGCATTAAAAAGTTCACAACACTCTTTGGTTAAATTAACCTAACCCTATAATTTTTTGAGTCAACAGAGTTGAACACAGCTGCATGAAGGCTGTCAAAGTGATAAGAATGAGATGCGGATCCCAATGGCGTGCCAGTTCATCCTTTCTTCCTTTTTTTTTTTCTTTTTTTTTTTTTGAAAATAGGTAATGGAAGTTCATCTTTTCTTCTTGGAACAAAGTGGTCCATCTTTTGACTGTAGTTATTGTAACCCTACCATGATTTGATTAGAATTACATGTTTTTCTTATGTAATCTTATTAATTTAAATATTATTTATTTATAAATTATTTTTAATAATCAAATTAAAATAAAAATATAATAATTAAAAAAAATTAAATAATTTATATAACTTTAACAAATTCAAAGTAGGTAATAATGATAACCCCATCTTTCGTGTAAGAATCTAAAATAGTTGATTAATTTGGCGATTTGATTTTGGTATACTACATTATATGAAGAAGATGATAATTGGCATGGAATGCAACTTGTTTAACTAATCAATCAAACAATCAATTCTTAGCCAGCTGTTTACACCATAATCCATTTTTTTTGACATGCTACCTAATCACTCTCCAACCTCTATCCTTTTGCGTCGGAGATGTAGTGATCAATCAATCATATGTATCTTGATAATAACCCCAGTGGCCAATAGATATTTGGCTTCAAATCTTACCCCCTTTTTGCACCATGTCTTATAGGTTAATTAATTGATATATTTAATATTTTAATTGATATTAAAGTTTAAATTATGATAATATTGTGCTAACATCTTCCTTCCCTTTACCCCAAATTAAAACTGTTAAAAAAAAAATTCATATCCCTTTTTTACTTTTATTGCTTTAGAAAGGGTTAGGTTATTGTTATTACTCAAATTGTTATTATTATTAATTTAATTATAATTTCATTAATTTATAATTGTTTAATAATTAATTATAATATTTAAAAATATGTGTTTATAAATTAATTGTAATTTATTAAATAATACTATCTTTTTTATTTTTAGTAATTATAACTTAATTTTTTAATTTTTTTAAAATGAATTTTATTTTATTTTATTAATTATTAATTATTTTTAATAATTAAATAAAAATAAAAATATAATAATTATTAATAATTTTAACAAATTAAATATTGATCATAATCATAACCCTAAAAAAGATATATTTAAAGTTTAAAATTTCAAATTCGAATATTAAATCTGATAAAAAAGAATTTAAGAAAAAATAAATATTATTTTATCTTATATAATACATTATTATTAAATGTTAAAAAAAAAATAAAAAATAAAAAAGAAGGGGGATATGTCTATCCTTTGTGTCTATCGAGTGTTTTTTTCTTTAAAAACAAAAAATTATCCACAATTAAGGTGAAGGTAGGATATGCCACTAGTTCTAGTGGTAGAGACTCATTGTAGTTATAGATTGCTTATCCACTGAATATAACAAATAACATGACTCAAAATTAAATGTTATCCTCTCTATTT